TTCGTCGTCGTCGTCGTCGTCGTCGTCGTCGTCCGGCTCCTTGTCCCCGTTCTCATCCCCCTGCCTTTGCTCGGGAGCGGGGCTCTCGCAACGACCGTGCCCTGTCGGTGTCTCTGGTCATCGCCGCGCGGCCGCTGTGTGTGCTCTGCCCTCAGTACGCGACCGCCTTGGACTGCGCCAGGTAGTCGGACCACTCCTGGAATGGCCCTCCCTTCCCCCTTTTCCTTTCCCTCATCTTCTACTCCTCCTCCTCCTCCTGCTCCTCCTCCTCGTCGTCCTCCTCGTCCTCCTCCTCCGCCCATCCTCCTCCTCCTCCTCCTCCTCCTCCTCCTCCTCCTCCTCCTCCTCCTCCTCCTCTTTCCGTTTTTTTTCTCCATCCTTCACATCCTCCTCTCCCCCGCCTCCCCCTAATCTTCATCATCAGTATTCTCATCCTTCTCCCTCCCAACCTCCCCTATCTCCCTTCCCCTCCACGTTCCTACTTCCCCACCCCCGCCTCGCTTTGCATCACCCCCCCTCCACCCCCCAAGAGAACCCTATGGGGGCCAAAGAGAGCTTCAGTACGGCCCCAAGAGCGCCCAAGAGCGCCCTAAGAAAGAGGGCTCCCAAAGGCAACTTTTCGGACTCCGACAAAGGGGACAAGTATGAAGAACCCATCTTTCTTTCGCCGATGGCCAAGATGGCCCCCAAGGCTCCCAAGAGGATCCCAAGATGGCCGCCTGTTGTGTCACTGCGTGCTCCGACCATTCCCTGGTCAATGCAACTTGCCAGGGCATCGTTTCTGGATGGGCTGGCAGATTTCTTTTTGGTTGCAGTCGCAAGCGAAGGCGCAGGCGGCGTCAAAGGTCGACCCGGGCTACGGGCGGAGCCTAATTACACAGCGAGCGCACTCATGGCTGCCGAAGCTGCCGCCGAGGGTTGCTGAGTGGCGCCGGGGGCTGAAGGCAGGCTGGCAGAAATACTTTTTTTGTCGCAACCGCAGGCGAGAGCGCCAGCGGCGAGTCAGAAACAACTGGCAGAATACGCGAAGCGTCTGGAATTGGCTGCCCGGGGCCCGAATACCAACTGGGCGCGCCCCTGGATGCCAACACAGACAGTCAGAATAACACATACCGATCCACCTCCGATTGAGTCTTGGCACTTGTGTGGGTTGTTTGATCGGTACTGGGCCCCTTTGGCTGTCATGGTAGCCACTCGGCCGCGGTCCTGGAAAGGAGACTTGATGAAGTGCGTCGGCTTCCAAAGGTCGGGCGTCAGGTAGCCGAAGGTCGCACGCAAGGCGTCGAACGTCGCTTTTATGAAGTTCCCCTTTTGCGCGCCAGGGAGCTTTCGAGACTCACCGAGCTGGAGGCGTGCTCCAGAGGAGCTCGCGGGGCGCTGGACATGAATACCTTGCCGCCACAGGAGGAATAATTATACATGTCCAGCGCTCCGCGAGATTCTCGGGAGACTGTCCCTCAAGTCGGTGGGTGTGAATAGATCCTGGGCGAGAGCCTTCGTCCTCGTGTGCCCGCAGGAGCAGGTGAAGCAGTCCTGGATGCCGCAGAAGGCCAGCATCTTCTTCATCACGGGGGATCCGACGACGCTGGACCCGCGCGGCGCTGGCACAAGCCGGACCCTCACAGAGCCGCACTTGCCCGCGACCTTCATCGGCACCGTGTGCGGCAAACCGATCTTGTTGCCCCAGTATCCGCGGCGCACGGGGATGAGGCTCAGCTTCGCGGCGATGATGCCGCCGCGGATTGCCGTCGCGACCTCCTTGGAGCATTTAGAGCCGAGCCCGATGTGGCCATTGTTGTCACCCACGAGCACGTAGCAGACGAAGCGGTTGGTCTGGCCAGCGGAGGACATCTTCTGAACGGGGTGGATCTTCATCACCTCGTCCTTGAGCGTGCCCGGGGCGAAGAACTGGTCGATGATCTGGTACTCCTTGATGGGCAGGGAATGCAGGTAGATGTCTTCGATGGACGTGATCTTCCCCTCCTTCACGAGGCGCCCGATCTTGGTGCAGGGCACCCACTCCTTCTCCTCGGCGCCCTTCTCGCCCCGCGGTCGGTCTGCCACCCCGAGGGGCCAGCCGGGGCCAGGCGCCCACCCCACCGACCCTCCAGGGAGGACTGGAGAAGCCGACGGAACCCCTCCGAGAACGACCCTCCAGGAGGCCTCCCGAGAACCCGCCCGTACGACCCTCCAAGAAGCCAGATCCCCCCTCCAGGAACCCTCCCAAGTCGACCCTGTGCTCCAAGCAGCAAGGAAGTCTCGACTACGTTTTTGCCTCTCCGCGGATACCCCTGGGGGAGCGCGGGGCTCTGACATATTCTCCTGGGCCGCTGCATTGCGTTCGCTGCGCTGTCTTGTGTTGCCTTGTGCCTCTCCAGCCCTGTCTCCGTGTTACCGTCGGGGGGCCGACGGTTCAAAGTATGAGCGACCCACGAGACGGGAAAGGGATACAGATCTGCCAAGCCTGCGCGCTGCTTCCTGATGGTCGTCATCGGCGTCGTCGTCGCCCTGCTCCTCCGTCTCCTTCCCCCTCACCTAGCGCCACGCGGCCCCTGGCTCCTCCCACTGTCCCCGACGACGTGTACCTCTGACACAGGAAGTTTTCCCCTACGGTGATGGCGTTGGAGAAGGAAGCCTTCGATCAGAAATCCAGGGTCTAGAAGCCGATGGAACTCCCATCGAGGCTTGGCTATGGACATCACCGCCGCCCCCACGATCAGGCACCCTCCAGGGTCTGAAGCCCCTGGACACATTCCTGAACGAACGCCCCCCCCGCACCAGCGAAATCAGACCACTTCAGGGGATGGGGCGCGTCTCAGGGCGCGACGTGCCAAGGGGACGTGCCCGGGGAGAGCCTCCGGGGACGTGCCGTGGACGTGCAAGCGACGCGCCCTGGGACCCGCCAGGGGGCGGGCCAGAGGACGCAGCACGGGCTGCGCCAGGGTGCGCGCCAGGGCACGCGCCAGGGGACGTGTCAGGAGACGTGCCCGGGGACGCATTTGCGCCAGAGGGCGTGCCAGTGGACAGGCCAGAGAACACGCGACGTCCCCAGGGGCGCGCCAGAGGGCGCGCTGGGGAAGGTGCCGGGGGGCGTGCCGTGAGGCGGCCTCAGACGTACCGCGCGAAGCGCCAGGGGACGTGCCACTGGACTCGCCAGGGAACGCGCCAGGGGACGCGCCACTGGGACGTGCCTGGGGACGTTGACCGGGGCAAAGCGTATTTTCCGATGCTGGAGCAAAAACCTGCACATTTGCTACTGGGACGTGTCATGGCGCGCGACAGGGGACTCGCCGGGGGACTCCTGGGGCGTGCTGGGGGCCCCACTGGGCCTCCAGAAGCCTCCTGGGCCGTCCTGGGGCGTCCAGGTGCCTCCTGGGGCCGCATCCTCGAGCGGGCGCGCGTTGGATCAAGCTTTACAGATTTTGAAGGAGACCCAAGCGTCCAGACCATGTTTTTTGTGATGCGGATTATGCGCGAACCCCCCAAGCCATCATTTTAGTTCGTTTAGCAAACATCCGGTGTGTAGAAGAGGGACACACCTTCCTCGAGCGTGCGCGCACGAGATGCACTTTTTACCACAAAAGGCCTAGCAAAAATGCGCCAGCGCGTCCCGCACGTGGCACCCGGACTAGTTTTCCTACTAACAGAATGCCCTGGGCCGACGCTCTCATCACGAAAAAACACCTGGGGAGCCCAGAGACTGCCAGCGGCTTACCGTAGGGAGTCGACGAGGCCTCGAAGACAATCCCGGAAGGCGCCGAACGGGCCTTGAGAGCCCCAGACGGCCAAAGTTGGCCCCGAGATGCCTCCACGTCTGCCCAGAAGGGCCCCCAAGACGCCCCCGAGAAGAGCAAACAGCAGTGACAAGCCATATCGTTTTCGATGCACGTTGACTGTCCAATGTTGTACCTCCAGCGTGACCCAAGATCTCTCCAAGACGGCCTCCAAATTCTGGCATATTGCCCAAGGCGGCACCAAACAGCCGCAAGATGCCACCAATGCCGTACTGGGTAGATCAGCAAGTGGCACGCGTGCCCTGGCAGCAAGTGGCACGCGTGCCCTGGCTCTCGCACGATCAGGTCGCGATGGGGACTGGGGCGAGGGCCAGGGGAAGGGGGGGGGGGCGAACGACGACCTCGACGAAAATATAGGGGCTCCGAGCTCCTAGAAAACAGCTGCGCAGGAGAATAAACATTTCCGCGGCCCAGGGAGGGGGGAGGCCAGGGAGGCCTGGGAAGCGAGGGGGCTCCCCGACATGGGGATGGGAGGCGCGGGAGACCGTGGGGGAGGACGACACGACCACGACGAAAATATAAGATTCCGCGGGTCCAGGGGGGCAGGCCAGGGGCCCTCCTGGGCGTCCGAATTCGTTCGCACGTCTGGCCCCGCCTAGGAGGCCTGCGGCAGATATGCAGCCGAAACACGGCGGCGAGGGGGCGTCGAGTTAGAGAGCGTGAGAGCCTCTACGCGCCAGGGGCCGGTGGCAAGAGGTTCCCCGCGGAGGTACTTCCCCCAAAAACGAGCAGCACCCCAAGGTGGAGAGCCCCGTGACGCAGAGCATAAAGGGAAAGGCAGGATGACGATGTAGAACAAATGCCGGGGGGACGACACAAACAACTACTCTGGGTTTCTTCATAAGCGTGGGGGTATCCCCCCGACGGGGGTCAACCTCGCCTCGTCGTCGCGCCGCGACGGGGGTCGGAGCGCCCTCGGCGCGCGGTGGCTACCCGCGACAGGGGGTCGACGTGGGGCTGTCGGCGGGGTTGACGCCCCCCCGACGCTAGTACGTAAGAAACTCGGAGCAGTTCTCTGCCGCTGAGACAGCGCTTGGCAGGGCGATCGACGACTCTCAGTGATGGCGATGGCGCCCGCGAGCAGGCCGGGAACCCAAGGTGTTACTCATTGCCAAGGCGTTGCTGTGTGACGGGCGCCCCCGTGCACTTCTGCATCGCCATCCTGCTCCTACTCCTGCTCCTCAAGATCCCCCTCCCCCTCCTCCTTCTCCTCCTCCTCCTCCTCCTCCTCCTCCTCAGGATATAGGTATGTTCTGAACCCTCGTGCCAGCGGTGAAGGCGAAGCGTCTGCCTGGCTGCTCACAGCCCCACCCTGCTCGTCAGAGCGGCAGCCGACCGCGGCTCTTGCCACCCTTCTTGCCCTTCTTCCCCTTCTTGCCCTTGCCATCTGGCTTGCCCTTGCCGAAACCACCTTGGGCTGCGCCGAAGAGGGGGAGCCATGAGGAGAAGGGTCAGCGCATTGTGGCCGAGGCCCTGCGCGGCGACGCACTGAAAAGAAGAGGGGGCCATGGCACCTGGGACATCGCATTGCCCGGCCGTGCTATCCACACACACACACACACAAACCAGTCTCCGCTCCCCCTCCGGACGCCCCCGACACCTTCTCCCATCACCGCAGCCCGCGCGGTCCTTTGGCACCGCGCCGCGACACAAACCAGGGGCCAGAACCGAAGTGGCTGCGGAGGCGGAGGAGCCAACGTATCCCGAGGGCGAGCCCAGCTCTGCCCATGCCCGCAGGGCAAGACTCGCGGCACCCTGCGATCCGCGAGGCTTTGGCATAAGAGAGGTGTGCCGACGTCGGCACGGTGTCTTTCAAGGCCGCGCTACAGGCGATGCTGATTAACGGCGATGTTGGGAATCTGACTTTTAGTGACACCGAGCTCGCGCAGAACAAATTGCAGGAAATCGCGAAACACCGTTCCCTACATTTCAATTGTGCGAAGGTATCGAGCGAAAACGACACAGCGAGTTGCACGAAAGCGCGAACCACGCGTTCCTACAGTTGGTTTGGCGACGGACCACGCCTTCATACAATTGGTTGTCCTACATCGCCGTTAGCTAACACACCGTTAGCGCATCTACAGGTCTTTGTGGTAAATGTGAAAGGTCTACACAGTGGCCTCAACAATCTGGGTCCGATCAATCATATCGCAGCCCACCGTGCCATATGCCTCCGGACTCCCAAGACCAAGCCAGAGCGACGGATCCACAAGAAAGTCGAATCGTGTCCAGCTGAGGGCGACATGGTGTCGGAGCCGAGAGTAGCGCTGCGGAGGCGGAGGACGACGACCAGGAGAATATCTGTCGAGCCTCCTGATGAAAACCTGTTAAACCTCCAACTCGGCGACGGGCGGCTTGCTCAGTCGATGCTCGCCTCCACTCAGCGCTCGCGCCCGAGTTGTCTGACGTGGACCACCTTGGAGGGGGGGTCAATCGGGCCCTTGGTGCAGCGTGAGAAGCCTCTTCGGGCCTCCTACGAGGCTCCTGTTCTGTGTCTGCGTGCCTTTGGGGGGCTCGTGGGCTGCACTTGGAGCCTGTCTGCCGTCTTGGCGGCCACGTGAGCCCTTCTTGGGCACTCTCGGAAGCATGTTGGGGCCTTTTGGTCCTAGCTGCCCCGATACGCAACACGCAACACGCAGCATTTTGACACGGAGCTCAACACGTAGACTGAAAACGCAGGTCTGGCGCGACACGTTTGTCAGAACGCGGGCCAACACGTCCATTGAGCAGGGACCGACCGTCCCGGCATTCCTATAGTCATACCACGAAATGTTCTTAGAACCCACACATGTTCTAAGAACATAAACAATGTTCTTAGAACATTAATCCGATGTGTTAAAACAAGACAGTCCCAGCCAGAAATGTTCCAAGAACATTTCGTGGAAACCACAAAAGGTTCCTAGAACATTGTTTGGTAGGGCTATAGGCGGGCCAGGACGCTTCGCCACTGCTTGTGTCCAGCCAACACGCAGCGTGTTCACACGGACGCTTTGAACACGGCACGTGCTGCACCTCACTTTGGCCCTCCCGGCGACCGCGTGGGGCCCTCCTGGGCCGTCGTGGAAGCTACCTTCCCCAGCCGATCAGCCCCTGGCCATCACACCGGCAGCCCCCGCGCTGGAGGCTCCCACGAGTCAGGCCCGGCAGCCTGCCTCCCCGCAGCGGGCCCCACATCCTTGCTCATGTCGAGCGATCGGCGCCTCTGGCCCCCAGACCCATGAGTCCCTGGAGCGTGCCGAACCTCCGAGCCCCAGATCCGCGAGTGCTGCGAGCACGAAGCGCTTCGGAGCCCTGAGTTCCAGAGTGCCTCCAAGATTCTGCCCCCTCCTCCTCCTCCTCCTCCACCTCCTCCTCCTCCTCCTCCTCCTCCTCCTCCTCCTCCCTCGACCCTTCCACTTCTCCTCCCTCCTCGCCCCCATCGCCCCCTTCTCCAAGACGCAGCAGTCACGTTGATACGTGGCGTTGAAATCCCGAGAACAATGTTTTGGCATGCTTCAGGATCTTCAAACGGTTGTCTTCCAACGAGGCAGTTCCCTCAGTGGAAATGAACCGCTGTAGGGGCCTATGAAGAGGGAGCTTGGAGGGAGGGTTAATTCCAACATCGTTGATGACTCTTGGTTTTGCACTGGTCCTCCTCCTCCTCCTCCTCCTCCTCCTCCTCCTCCTCCCATTCCACTTTCCCCTCTCCCCCTCCCTCCTCGCCCCCCCCCCCCCCCCTGCCAGCTCAGCTCGGCCCTCCCAACCTCTCCCCCCCTCCCTCCCTCCCGCCTCCCTGCCTCCCTAGTCACGTTCTGCCTCCCCGCCTCCCTGCGCCGCCTTCATCCCTCCATCCTCTCCCTTTTGAAGGGGCCCTGGGACACACAAATAAATAGACACAAATCCCAGGATTCTCCATACTTTCACATATTTTCTGGGTTTCTGTCTTCCCCTCACTTCACAGATTGTCCCATATATGCTGGGGAATCGACGATTCATTGTGTCTGTGTTTTTGTTTCCCTCCTGACCTTTCTCCGTCGCCATGCCCCTGCAGAGAGGAGGAGCAAGAAGGCAAACAATGCAGTCGGACCTGCAGTAGGGGACCGACCAGAAGAAGCCTTCCACAAGAAACCCAACCCCCCAAGACGTCCATCGATTTTTGGTGTGGGAATGTCACGCTTTCCATGCCAAACCATCGATACCCAAGAAGAAACCCAGGGCACCCTGGAGGCAAGCAGGTTGTTTCTTGGCATGGGCCTCCACTGCATGCCAGAATGGCATCCCTCAAAAGCATGAAACCCTCCGTCGGCCAAAACAATCAGAACATCCAAGGGTGCCCTCCCCTGGATGCACAAGAGCATCCAACAAACACGAAGAGCACTTGGATACCCTCCCCAGACCGACCTCGATCTGATGCCTCGGTCCGACTGTACTGCAAACGCGGCTCCTCTCCAACTATTTCCTCGATGCTGGCAACCCCATGCGAAAGCGCGCCGGCCTCCCAGCTTTTCGCACCGCCCCAGAAGCTCACAACACCTCTGAAGCCAATGCGGGCATGACTGCTAACATCTTCCTGCTACGGTCGGGAACCTCTGCTTAGCGCGTCGCGGAGGTAGCCCCGGCGACGCGCTATGCCCTGCGACTGATTGCGTGTTGCTCCGCTCCTCGGGGCGGAAAGCTGGACAAAAACGCTCGGGACATTGACGTTCGGGGACGAGGACGGGTTTAGCGTGTCGCGCCGAAGCGTTGCTGGCCAGAACTGGCGGCGCGAAGCGCCAAGCCAAAGTCCCTGACCGTACGGTAGACAAATACAATAAGAAATATTTGCTGAGATCAATGGGCACGTTCGTCCTGAGGTTCCCCAGAGCTGATGTGCCCCCCCCGGGCCATCAGAGGATCAGAAACTTCCGCGGGGCACCTGCTTGCAGGCCGGCTTCTCATTTGCTGTGTCTCCCCAGAGGCCGACAGTGGCCCAAACACTTGCGGCGCGATCTCCCACGACGCGAGGATGTCTCGGATGTACCTCCTCGGCCCCCCCCGCCCTCCCCCCATGGCCCGTCTGGGCACGCGAAGCCGACGATGCCGGGCGCGAGCTCCAGCCTCTCCTGGCTCGGGGGCGCGCGGCCGTCGCGCGGGCGCATGCGGCCGCGGGCAATGGAGCCCGGCTCGAACAAAAATGAAACGCCAGGATCTCAGGAATCCAGAAGAGGAGGAGAAGGAGGAGGAGGAGGAGGAGACCCACCCGTCAAGAGAGCACGCTCCATCCGACAACCGACTATCTTAGGAGGCCTTGAAGCCTCGTCTCTCTACGGATGACTGTACGAAGGCGGCCGACAATGGTTTGCTGGGTCAAAGAAGCAGATGGGGCAGCACGAGAACGGAGAGCCTGAAACGCAGAATGGATGGCGTCGATGGCAACAAAGACACTCGTCATTTTGGCTCCAGTCGCCACCGCGTGCTCGAGCGCTGGTCAGGGGAGACCGACACTCGAGGCCCTGGAGACGCCCCTTGGACAGGGGTCCTCTGCATTTTGCTATACACGCATTTTGCTTCTGTATACCGCACCTGAGCCTGAAGATCTGTTTTCCTCAGGCCGCCATGGCGCAAGAAGCAATGAAGACGATGATGGCAGAACTGTTGGCGACCAACCGTGACGAGATGCTCTTCTCCCTCAGGACCGAGATGAAGGACAGCGTTGGGGTCATCCAAAGTCAGGTCACAGCTCAAGCAGCCCAGATCGCCGAGCTCAAGAGCTCCATCATCGCCTTCTCAGAGAAGACCATGAAGATCGAGAGCGCGCAGAGCACAGCCGCCAGCGCCGCCTCTCAAGCCTCCAGTCGTCCCACGGCAAGGTCGTTGTCCAGCGACGGTGGCAAGTCCAGGAGGCTCGACCCGATCGACCCCGCAGCGAGCGAGGGCGGGGACCCGTGCCTCAAGTTCGCGGGCGCCTTCCCTCGGCCGCTGCCCAGGAAGACTCGCGAGGCCCACTTCGCGCGGCTGAAGCATATGATTCCTGACGAACTCGCAGACGATAAGGTCGAAGTCATGTTCCACGCCGTCAGCCAAGTGTACAAATAGAAGTTCCACTCCAAGGAAGTAGCCGACTCCTTCGCCAAGCGCGTCAGCCAACTGGCCATGCAGTGGCGCGACTTCCGAGAAGGCTCCACCCACTCGCTGCAGGTGCGCGGCGACCCCCCGTTCCACGCGCGCCCAAAGAAGAAGGCCTTCTCGGCAGTGCACATGCCGATTCGGGAACTCTTGAAGCAGTCCAGCCTCTGGGGCGCAGACGCCGAGCTCGGCGTCAACGGCCGCGAAGGCGTGCTGCAGGTCATCGCCCAGAGCGACGCCCACGAACTCCTGGTCGCGAAGCCCGTCGCCGAGGACACCTTCTCCTCCGCGCCGACGCTGCGTAACTTCGAGGCCTGGGGCATCACGCCCGCCCAGGCCCAAAGGATCATCGAGGGCGTCTGACAGGATGCCCCACGGGAGCCACACCAGCATCTGAGCCTCTCGGAGGGTGGGCCTCCGTTAGGCGCTCCTGGGGGCCGCCACTTTGCCTCGCCGTCTGTCTAATCTTTTTCGAATTCTTCCCCAGGCCCCCAGGGGAATGCGGGGCCGCCTGGCATTCTCGGCAGCTCGCCCTCCGCCCCTGTCTCCCCGCCTCCTGTTGCCAGCTATCGTTCCCAAGACTTTCCAAGGCCT